CCCCCCTCCCTCTCCCTCACTCTCTCCCCTCCTCACCCCACACATTCTCCCTCCCCACGAGAGCATCTTAAACATTGCATCGTAAGTTAAAGGCAACCCGACCTTTTTTCCCCCCTCCCCTCATCCTCTTCTCTGAGATTTCTGGACAAATCCAGAAATCTGAACAAAGACTCCGTCCTCCTTCCTTTATCCTCCTCATCTCCCCTTCCTGACCCTGTCCTCTGAGGTCAACACCACAGAGTCCAAGGTGAGGTTTAATCTCCCCAGTGAGCTCAGAATGCTAGGCTTCAGAGAACTAGAAAGTATTCCTGCATCAAACCATGTGGCCTAGCGGGTAAAGAGTTGTGCTGCCAACCCAAAGACACATGGTTTCAATCCACCAGTGGAAGAAAGAAGGGCAATCTCTTCATGTGCAATTTACAGCCTCTGAAAATCTGCTCAAAGGTCAGCTAGGAGTTGGTTCCAACTAGACAGAAATGAGAGAGTGAGTGAGTGGTCTAGATTTCCCCCCCCCAAAAAAGATTAAAACAAACAAAAAGCGAGCATTGAGCAGTTAAATCACATATCCACAAAAAAATCACATAGCTAGGGGGCTCTGGTGGCATAACTCATAGGGAGTCGCTTTACCATCCCCAAGGCCTGTAGCCCTAGAGGTCTGAATCCATCAGCTGCTCTGCAGGAGAAGGATGGGCAGTCTCTTCTCATACTATCTATAGCCTCAAAAGTCCAATAGAGGGGTCAACTATGAGCTGGTGTCAATTCCACAAGTGTTTGAGGGTTTGAGAGGGTATAAAGGTTGGATATTAGTAAAGAAAAGGGCAGTAATCCAAAACTTGGTTGATTTTGCTACGGCTGAATACTTATACTATCATTTACTTGTTTTCAAGGCCATTACATTTATAACTTTAAAGCATCATAGCTCCTCAACCAGATGGACTGACATAGTGACTGCAGCAATGGACTAGAATGTGTCAGAGGATTATAAGGATGGCACAGGATAGGACAGGATTCAGCTCTTTGAGTCATAGGTTGCTATGGGCCATACTTGATGGCATCTAACAACAACAACATGCCATCATTTTCATTTCATCTTTAAAATTCAATCCCTTTCTGTTCTTAAGGAATTTTTTTAAATGAGGATTTTTATTTATTTATTTTTTTATATTTTGTGTGTACCGTCAAATCAGATCTGACTGGTACAGGAGGAGATTGTCCCTCCTCCAGCAGAGCATCTGGTGGATTTGAAACACACACTCCTGGGATTGCAGTACAGCTTCTTGCCACTAGGCCACGAGAGCTCACCAAGGAATTTTTTTAAAAGAGACATTGCTACTTTCACAAGCTAATTTTGTGTGGATAAATACACATAACATTTAAAAATAAATTATTCCATGCATCATCTAAATTAATCTTGCACACTACAAATATCAGATGTGCTTAATTTTGGGAAACTGGGCAAACTTTTGATGTCAGATAGATCTTGGTTGAATCCAAACTCTATTTTTGTCTTTGGGATCTAAGGTAAGTTATTTAGCCTCTTACCTTCCTCACCTGTAAAACTGCAATGATAAAATATTCTCTTCAGGTTATTGTGAAGATGAACATTTTAAAAAAGCATTTAAAGGCTTAAGCATTTGTGGTGTTAGCCTAAAAGTTGGCTTTTTTCCTTTCTTTTTTTAGCTATTACATTAAGCCTCTTCTGTTTTCTGGCTACCTTAACACATGTTCTTGCAAATTGTCAACAGCTGTAGGATTAGGATGAGAAAGGGTGAGGTCAAGGGCGAGGGCGACGGCATGCTTCCCACATGGAGTAGAAAGACTTGAGGGATACTAGAGCAAGACCTTGTGAGACACTGGTGGCAAGATCCAGGTGGTGGAGAGATTGTGGCATAGCTGTGGAGAAACTGTGGCAAGGTGTGACCTAAGGCTTCTTGTATTTGTGCTGATCACAGTTAAGTATTTTGCTGTTCTTGCCAGATGCTTGAAAGAGAAGCTGACTTAGAATTGCTCTGAGGCAAACCTTGCTGGATGATTGAAGAAACCAGAGGCTTCTTGATTGAATGTGTGTTGCTGAACTGAACCAGGACATTTTCTAAACCTGGATTTATTGTGAAATATTCTTTGCCTCCCTCACTCTCCAATTTACTTCCCTTAAATACGTATCATTCTCGGTACCACGACTGTGAGTCTGTGAATCAACAACAAGTAAATGAATCTCTTGCTGCTGGTGTGTCTCTGGATGCACCATGGGGCTGGGCTGCTCTGGGGCAGTGATAGGTTGTACTCTTCTCACTGCCTCTGGCCCTTTCGGAGAGATGTTCATGGCCACGTGCCACCATGTCCCATTTTCTGTCCTTTCAACAGCACTGTATTAATCTTAAAAAAGAAAACTCCTGGTTGTCAAGTTGATTTTGATTCATAGCAACCTTACGTTGGAAATAGTAGAACTGTACTATAGGATTTCCAAGACAGTAATCATTACAGAATTAGACTGCTGCATTTATCTCCTCCTGAGCAGCTAGTAGGTTTGAACCACTGACTTGTCAGTTAGGAGCCAAGCACTTGCTAACTGCACCACCAGGGCTCTTTATCTTATAATGAACCATTAAAATAAAAAAAAACCAACCCATCTCTTTGCTGTCAAGTCAAACCGACTCATAGCTGACCCTCCAGTGGGTTTTCAGAGGCTGTTAATTTGTATGTGAGCAGACTGCCCATCTTTCTCCCTTGGAGCTGCTGGTGGATTCGAACCAGTTGCTTTTACGTTAGCAGTGCATCTCTCTATGGACTAAGCCACCAGAGCTTTCTATCTTATAATGGGTATTGAGTTAATGAAAATTATTTTAATGGTAATATTTATTATAATTTATAGATAAGAAGTGGGAAAACTGGGATGAAAGTTTAAGTCTCTCGGTTCTGTTTTTCTGTCCCACATCCAGACAATGCAGAATGCTTGGTGCCTCACATCAGTGTTGTGTTCAATGAGCCTGTATTTTGGTGTTGGCTCTCTTTTGTCCATAGTGAAGTTTTCTGTACTGTCTAAAAGCATGAAGCTTTTACGGTGTTTGCATCCATAAGATAGATGAGTTAGTTTGCCAGTGTTAAATTAACTGAGTCACTAAGGATATTTGCTTGCTACAAGGTGGTGATTTTTGTGTGCTGTAAAGTTGAAACGAACTTGGAGTTGACCCTCCAGTAAGTTTTCAGAGGCTCAATATCACACAAGAGGAGACTATCTCTCTTTCTCCTGAGAAGCAGTTAGTGGATTTGAACTGCTGGATGTTGAGTTGGCATTGCAACTCCTTACCCCCTAGGCTATCAGAACTCCCATGAGCAAGGTTTTTGTTGTTGCTGAATACTGTAGCATCAGAGCTGACCCTCTGGCAGGTTTTCAGAGGCAGTTGACTTCACAGGAAGAGATTGCCCATCCCTCTCCCATGGAGCAGCTGGTGGCCTTGAACCATGTGCCTTCAGGATTGCAGTGCAGCTTCTTGCCACTAGGCCACCAGAGCTCCCTAAAACAAGGTGGTAAGAGTGGGAAAATATGGCCTTCAAGACAGTTTGCTGTATGTGCTGGAACTTTTCATCCATATCTGCATTGGAGGGAAAGGGCAAAAGACAGTGGCAGGGTGGGAAGGGCAACTAGAGCCTGCTGGCCTGCTTCTGAAATGGATATTTTAAGAAAATCCACCAGGATCCTTCTGGTGCTGTGGTAGGTCCACCTTGCCTCACCCAGCCTGAGCTATGTGATGTAGCTAGAAAGTGGGGTGGGGTGGGGATGGCTTCTTTCCCTTTCAAGAAGTAAGGGGTCTCTATAGTGAGCTCTGAGGTATCACTTAGAAAGGACGAAGGAATCATAGTGTCCCCATAAAAGACCTGCTAAGCACTTTGCGGAAAGTTCCAGAATCTACGCTCCTGTGACCTACCTCCTCCATCATGCCGCTGAGCTCCTCAGAGCGCCCGCTGTAGCACAGTGCTTGGATGTGTTGGAGCAGGCCCTGGGCCTTCTGAATTTCTGCCAGGAGCTCATCCACATCTCGGCTCGTACAGACCTGGGTGGGTGGGAACAAGTCCCTAGAAGTCACTTGGCCACTAGTAGTCGTGAAGGCAGGAGAGAACACGAAGCAAAGCCAATTCCCACAGCTGTGTGGCCAATCGTGTGGACCACATAAACTGGGACCCAGGCCCTACAGAGAACAAGCCCCAGAAACTGGGCTCCATGTGCCAGAGAGAGCCTGGGAATGCTTCTCTTCTGTGTCCATGATTGCCCTGCAGTGATCTCAAAATGCAAAGATTGTCAAAGATTGTTAATGTGCAAAGGGAAAACAATGAAAAAGTTCATCAATAGAGGAACAGAAACACAAAATGTGGTTTTGAAAACATATATTCATTGCACATCCATGTTTATCGATGAGTTGTTCACAATAGCAAAAAGGTGGAAACAAGTCAACTGTCTATCAACAAATCAATGGATAGAGAAGCTGGGGTATATTCACACAATGGAATACTACACAGCACTGAAAAACAAGGAACTCATGAAATATTATACTAAATGGGTGACCCTGGAGGGCATTATGCTGAGTGAAATATATCAGTCACAAAAGGACAAATACTGCATAGTGTCACTGTTGTAAAATGGGACTGACATCAGGGTTGGAGTGAGACTGAGAAAGATGGGATAAATTATGTATACTGCATTGAAACAGATGAGGGAGAGAACTGTTTAAAAGGGATATATGATTGGGTGTTATTTTCATGACAGGAGTCCAGAACAAAGGTTGCATAGTGAAGT